TCTATATAATCACACTCTTTTATAATCACCAATTTTCTTGATACAAACTGTGTAATTATAGAGGAGGAAGACTGTATTAAAACAATTTTAAATAATTATACTCTTCTTCTTAATCTAAATATTAAAACTAAGCATATTTTTTTAATTTTTTTCAAATTATGATTCATTGCTTAAATAAGATTTTTTACTTTTTGTTTTAATATTTTTTTAATTCTCTTCAAATAATTTATATAAAAGACTTTATTTCAAATAGTTTTTTTAATCTAACTAAAAACTCTTTATTATAAAGAAATATTATACAATATATATAGATATTTTGATAGATATTAATTAGTAAATTTATTTGTTAAAATATTCAAACTTGATTTTTTATTTTATTTTAAAAGTGCAAGAGATAACTAGTACTATATTTGGTTAATTTAGTGATCATTCTGGAATAAAAAAATATTATTGCCCAGTCTTTTTGTATTAGATAATAATATTATAAATGATGTTTTTGGATAAATTTAAGGTTCTTACAATCTTAGCTAACTTTACATCAGTTTTTCAAGTGCCAACAATTTGACGATATTGCTTTTTGATAATTTTTTCTTTATAAATTTATTATAGTAAAAAAAATAAAATAAATAAAACTAAATAGACTAACTTCTGACAAAACTGTAAAATAAATTTTGTCTATATTATAAGAGTTTTGATTACAAAAAAATAGTAAGCACTGTGTTATAACTGTTAATCTTGAAAATTCCAATGATCAATATCAGGAAAGTGTATATTGTGGGAAGATATATTAAGAATTGAATTGGAAAAAGGAATATGAGTAGGCTATTAGTTGGTGATAAATATAGATTTAGATATATTTATTTTTATATTTGTTATGTGATAGAAAGATATTACTATTTGGATGAATTTCTCTAGTTCATCTTTTTGATTGGGCTCCAGAGCGTATTATCCATAAAGCTAAGACGGATACCGATGTTTGAAGACTCTTACTTTTGGGGTTTTTGTAATTCTAAAGTATAAAATTAAAGTCTCTCGCGTCTTTAATAACATCTTTAGTTTTCGATGTTTTTATTGAAATGTGAATAAGAATCGATTTCTCAGTATATTTTAGATAGTGTTGTAGCTATTACGACCTCGATAATAATTGTGGCGGATCATAATGAAATCCAGATCAAAATGAAATTATAATATAAAATCTCGAAAAATAAAATTTTTTGGGGTGCATTTTTTAGGGATAGGGGTTAGGGTTAGGGATTAGTTTTAAAGTAAAGTTATAATAAACAAGTATAAGTGTGTTTTAAAAGGTTAACAGGTTGAGTAGAAAATGTAGATTTCATTTTAAATTATGATCCGCGACAGTTATTAAAGCTTCATTGCACATATGAAACCAATAATTTTTTAAAGGGAAATTACATATAAGAGCCAAAAATGAAAATAATTACAAATTTTGAAAAATTTTACAATTAAGTGCCAAAATAACTTTGCGTTATGATGATAGCGGTTCTTTGAATGTTATCACTTTATATATATGTATATATTATATTATACATTTTATACTATATCCTTTCGCTTAATGAAGTTTTTACTTAATCAAGATACAGTTTGACTAGATTAAGCACGGTATTTATCAATATTTTAATATGTCTATCTATACTCAAACTAGTAAATCATGTTTATAAAGGTTACTACGCGTTAATCGAAGATGTTTAGAATCGCAATAACTTATTTATATTCGTAGAAAAAGTCAAATTACTTTTAAAAATTGGCAAAAGTAGTTATAATTTTTACGTGCAAAACGCTAAAAGAATAAATGCAATACTGATCAAAATGTAATGCGTTTTGCTGACAAAGAAAATTAATTTTAAATATTAAAAACTTACAATCTATTATTTTAAAATTTGGACCATATATAATTATTTTCACTTTTGATCCTTGTTTGTAATTATTTTCATTTTTCGGGAGCTTAAATGTAATTTCCCTTTTCAATTGACAAAACTGCTACTAAATTGTCAGTCCGTTAGATTAGCTGTAAACACAACACAATAAATTAACGATTTACATGCTAATGAATGAATTTATTTTTATTTTTAAATGCACTTTTATATAGTTGAATGATGAATAAATTGCGAGAAATTAATTATTAAATGATTTTTAGTACAGTATACTACTATATATTAGCCAGAATATGGATTGTAGTGACCACCAGTTTGATTCATGTTGACATAATGAGTACCAGTATTAGCATTATGATTGTAATAAGCACTATTATTACCATAATTCCCAGTATTATTACCGTAAAAACCACCAGCACTTATACCATGACTATCAGTATTAGAATTACCAACTATATTAACATTATTATAATAATCAATACTACTAACATTAGTAGCCTTGGGATCGGTGGAAAGTTGTTTTTCTTGAAGTTTTTTATTTTTACGCCATTCATCAAAACTATTAGTTTCTTGGAATTTGGCAATTCCATAAAATTCTTTTTCAGGAAGGACCACTAACATAAGGAATTCTATTAACAGTTCAGCGATTTTCTAATTTGTAAGAAAACCAAAAGATGTTAAAAGAATGGAAAAAAATAATGAAAATAAAAAAAAAGAAAAAAAATTAATAATATTGAAATATCACAAGTTCTAATACTTACAAAAAGTGCAAAACCTCCAACAATATTCGTAAGAAGACTGAGGAGGTCGAATTGACCAATAGTTCCATGTTGTTGGAATACAAAACGAATACTATTGATAAAATGAATAATTGATATTAGCAATAATAACAGGCATAATAAATATAAAGTACAGTAATATATAACTTTTAATGTTAACACTTACCCATGCCTATCAACTAATGTAATTGAGCCACTTGTACCATTATAAATTCGTTCAACTGTTTTATATTCATTTCCGTCAATCACTTGAGGTATATACTTATAGGTTATGTCTTCGCGCTAACAATAAAATTGATAACATTGTATTAGTTACAATGCATATATATATCTAAATCACTTTGATAAAATTGGTAATATTAAAAGTACATTATTTTTGTATTCGATCACAATAACGATAACTATTCCAGAAGTCCTGTAAACTTCTCCTTGATCTTTTTTAGCTCCGGGAGCCGTTGAGAGAGCTTTGATATGAAAAAAAGAAATAATTATTATTGACAATATTCTTATTGGAACATTTATTCTTATTTAAACCAAATAACATATTAAAAAAATGATATTATACCATCCAAATTTGCACCAGCAGCATCAAGAAGTTCTTTAACAGTAAAAATATCACCATCAGCATTTTTATTAAGAGCCATCTATTTATTGATTAGACCAAAATGTCTTTTAATAAAGGTCATGTTCATGAAAGAAAGAACCACAAATTAATTACTCACTCTTGTAGCATTAGTTATGGTCCTAATTTCTTTACCATCATGAGACATAAGTTTACCTTCCAATAAACCATTACGAATTGCGATGGAAGTAATCCTTCCTCTTACTGAATGCTCTATCATCACCTATTGACAAAGTAAAAAAAACAATGTAATCGATTGTTAAAATTATATTTTATTTATTTTTTTTAATATTACAGTTTAACACTTACAGTATAATCTTCAATATCACCGATAAAAGACATTGGTACAAGTGTAGTGTTACGTACATTTGGAGCTTTTGGATCAAAGAAACACGGATCTGATGGTGATTGAGCTTTTAAAAAGTCACAACCTGGTGGTGGAGCATAATTTATCGAGCTTACTCTAGTGGTAAAAAACGCAACACCTGCTCCATCGTCGGGGAATCGTACTATGTAAATTAAAATTTAATTATAGTGTAAATAGTGTTAATATCATAATACATCAAATACATCAAATTAATGTTAACATTTACTTACTTGCATCTGCGCTCCAAAAAACGCAAGGATAAGTTCCTCCAATACAATAAGAAGGAGTGGTAAAGTTAGGTGGGGCCTGCAATGTTATTCGTACAGCGCCGGGTACTGGAGGTTCCTGCGTAAATAACATTAAAAGTGGTTAAAATCGAACAAATGCCGTAAAAAAAAAATTTGGATCACTTTGATCATTAATGTGACAAATATGTGAGTGAACGTGTAAATACTATCCAAAAATAACTTTACACAAGCTCACCTCACTTATTGATATGATTTGAAAATCAATATTTTTAAGGAATTTGATTAGAAGCAATAAAAATGCACCAATTTTGTTAATGAAATTTTGAACGATAATAATAAGAATTTAGAGATTGGAATCGGCTGAAATTTTTAAAAAATCAAATTTAATAAATTTGAAGGAATTCTTGTTATTTTTGTTTAAAATTTCAAAAAAAAAAAAAACTTGGAAAATTTGTGCGTTTCTATTGACTCCATTGACTTCCAAATGATTAAAGTGGTTCTCATTATGTGTATATTAAAGGAAATAGTACCGTCTTAAGATAGAGTTCTTTCGAGTAAATTGAATATATAAGATATGCAACAATTATTAACTGAAAGAATCGATATAAAGTCCCTAACCGACGACTGATAAGTGGTAGCATTCAATGATATTAATAGTTATAAACAATAAATTGTAAATTACAAATGTTAAATAGAATCATACTCTTTAACTTTGACCACTCTATAAGTTCGATAACTGTTTTAAAGGAAATTATGTTAATAATTGAAGAATTAAAGATGGTTTACAAACGCTAATAAAAATTCTTACCCTAAAAAATCGTATGAATCAAATTTCATTTTTACATTTATTCACAAAATAACTGAGTTATAACAGATTTATAATAATCAAAAGGGCATAAAATAGCTTATAATTGACAATTAGTTTATACAAAGTAACGAGACAAAGTCACTTTACAAAATAACGGAATTTTTTTCAGTGTAGATTATTATATGATAAATATTTGTTTGTTGCATAATATCTTACTAAGGTTGTATTTAGATTTTTTTGGTATAGCTTGCAGATTAATATTGTATATTGTATAAGCACGTTTCAAAGTTTGAATTCCAAAGATCAAATTAAATTAATTACATTATTATCAATTTTCTTTTATCGTTGATGTACGTACGTATAAATATTTGTATGCGTGTATATACTTATGATCCAAAAAGGTGCATTTCAAATATATATATTGCTATTCGTGGTAAGTAATATTACACAGGGTCAGTATTATATCGTCGATTGTTTAGTATATCCAATGTATCGATACATTCAACCCCTAAATGCACCACTAAATGCAATCTCCCTAAAATGTGTAACCTAAGGCTTTAATTCTAGAAGAAAATGCATAACTTCATAAATCTAATTTTTTTTTTTATTGTTCTATAAATGTATATTTGGCTTATATACGTTGGATTAAACGTTCTTCTATTGGATTCAACATGTTAATACGGCTAAGATATGCTAGGTGTTTGCCACAATTGTTGTATCACATACCCCGCCAGGAAAATTTTTTCGATTACCGTTAATGTCAATCGATACTGAATATCATTTAATAACCGTTTAACGTTAACGTTAATACGTATATTTGTTAAAAAAGTTCTTGTGTGACATTAAATTTGAATACGTACACATCTTTACATATGTATACACAAAAGCCGAATTCCGAACTATTGTTTCAAATTTAGTCCATTTGAGGTTAAGGGTTTCGAATTAAACCTGATGGAAAATCAGTAAGTGAAAATTTATCCCAGAATTGTGATCTTATGTCATACATATGGGCGAATTTGATGCATGATCGTGTTGCGATATTTCCTTTTATATGGGACGTCTAAAGTGGAGGGAACGCTTATTTTTTAATGGTTTACTTGATTAACTTTAGTGGTAGGGCCGCTTTAATTTAGGGTTAGGACTGGGTTAGGGGCATTTGTAGAAGTAAATTGCCTTCCCGACATTTTTTATTAATGCACCAAAGTTAGTTTAAATGCAATAAAACGAAATGTTGCAACACGATCATGTGTTAATCTGCCATACTTGCTGGCAAAACCCGATGTTACTTTCTGCGCTTCAATATTTACATATTTTTAATCCTTCATTATTTCCTTATTTGTATTATTTCTTATTACGTAGTACGTGTTAATACCATTTTTTTTATAATGTATTATTATCATAATTATTATTATTATTATAATCACTCCTCCCCGTTGTTACTATAGTTGTTTTTTTTTTCTTTTCTGCGCTATGGTGATACGTCGGTCATATATTTCGAACTGACAGCCGTG